TGGGGTGGTAATGGGGGGTAATGGGGGGCTAATGGGGGCAATGGGGGGTAATGGAGGGTAATGGGGATCAATGGGGGGCAATGGGTGGCAATGGGAGGGTAATGGGGGGCAATGGGGTGGTAATGGGGGGCAATGGGTGGCAATGGGGGGGTAATGGGGATCAATGGGGGGTAATGGGGGGCAATGGGGGGGTAATGGGGGTCTATGAGGGGCAATGGGGGGTAATGGGGGGTTATGGGGGGTTAATGGGGGGCAATGGGGGGGTAATGGGGGGCAATGAGGGGGAATGGGGATCAATGGGGTGTAATTGGGGGGAATGGGGGGCAATGGGGAGGTAATGGGGATCAATGGGGAGGCAATGGGGGGTAATGGGGGGTAATGGGGGGCAATGGGGTGGTAATGGGGGGGCAATGGGGATCAATGGGGGGTCATGGGGAGGCAATGGGGATCAATGGGGGGTAATGGGGGGCAATGGGGGGGTAATAGGGATCAATGGTGGATCAATGGGGAGGTAATGGGGGGGTAATGGGGCAGTAATGGGGATCAATGGGGGGCAATGGGGGCAATGGGGGGGTAATGGGGGGCAATGAGGGGGAATGGGGATCAATGGGGTGTAATTGGGGGGAATGGGGGGCAATGGGGAGGTAATGGGGATCAATGGGGGGCAATGGGGAGGCAATGGGGGGTAATGGGGGGCAATGGGGGGTAATGGGGGGCTATAGGGGTCAGTGGGGGTCTATGGGCGGGCAATGAGGGGGTAATGGGGGGCAATGGGAGGTTATAGGGGGTAATGGGGATCAGTGGGGGCTAATAGGGGGCAATGGGGGGTAATGGGGGGCAATGGGAGGTTATAGGGGGGCAATGATGCTAAGGGGGCGCCGGAAGTGCTCCCACCGGAAGTGCTCCCACCGGAAGTGCTCCCACCGGAAGCGCTCCTACCGGAAGCCGCCTCAGATCCAAGATGGCGCCGCGCGGAGCGGGACGCCGCCGCCGTCGTCGCCGCGGCGACGGCCCCATAGAGCCCCATGGAAGCCCCATAGAGCCCCATGGAAGCCCCATAGAGCCCCATAGCGCCCCACAGAGCCCTACGGAAGCCCAGTCTAGGGTTTACATCCCCGGTGTGGGGCCTCCGCTGGGGCCGGACGAGGAGCTGGTTATGGACGAAGAGGCCTATGTGTTGTATCACCGCGCCGGCACCGGTAGGAGCGGCTCTATGGGGTTCTATGGGGCTCTGTGGGGCTCTATGGGGTTCTATGGGGTTCTGTGGGGCTCTATGGGGTTCTATGGAGCTCTGTGGGGTTCTGTGGGGTTCTGTGGGGCTCTATGGGGCTCTATGGGGTTCTATGGGGCTCTATGGGTTTCTATGGGGCTCTATGGGGGCTCTGTGGGGTTCTATGGGGCTCTGTGGGGTTCTATGGGGCTCTATGGGGTTCTGTGGGGCTCTGTGGGGCTCTATGGGGTTCTATGGGGCTCTATGGGGTTCTGTGGGACTCTGTGGGGTTCTGTGGGTCTCTATGTGGTTCTGTGGGGTTCTGTGGGGCTCTATGGGGTTCTGTGGGGCTCTATGGGGCTCTGTGGGGTTCTATGGGGCTCTATCGGGTTCTGTGGGGCTCTATAGGGTTCTGTGGGGCTCTATGGAGCTCTATGGGGCTCTATGGGGTTCTGTGGGGCTCTATAGGGTTCTATGGGGCTCTATGGGGCTTTGTGGGGTTCTGTGGGGCTCTATGGGGTTCTATGGGGCTCTATGGGGTTCTGTGGGGCTCTATGGGGCTCTATGGGGTTCTGTGGGGCTCTATGGGGCTCTGTGGGGTTCTGTGGGGTTCTATGGGGCTCTATGGGGTTCTATGGAGCTCTGTGGGGCTCTATGGGGTTCTGTGGGGCTCTATGGGGCTCTGTGGGGCTCTATGGGGTTCTGTGGGGCTCTATGGGGTTCTATGGGGCTCTGTGGGTTTCTGTGGGGCTCTATGGGGTTCTATGGAGCTCTATGGGGCTCTATGGGGTTCTATGGGGCTGCTCCCCCCCTCTCCTTCCCCATAGGGGCCCCGTGTTTGAGCCTCGATGTGGTCCCGGACGAGCTGGGGGAGGGCCGGGAGGAGCTGCCCCTGTCCCTGCTGCTCTGCGCGGGGACCCAGGCGCCCACGGCCCAGGGCAACCGGTGAGTGCGCGGTGGGACCCATAGGGACCCATAGAGACCCATAGAGAGCCATAGGGAGCTATAGGGAGCCATAGAGACCCATAGGGAGTTATAGAGACCCATAGAGAGCCATAGAGAGCCATAGAGAGCCATAGAGACCCATAGGGACCCATAGGGACCCATAGAGACCCATAGGGACCCATAGAGCTTATAGAGATCCATAGGGACCCATAGAGAGCCATAGGGACCCATAGAGACCCATGGAGACCCATAGAGCGTATAGAGATCCATAGAGACCTATAGAGACCCATAGGGACCCATAGAGTGCATAGAGATCCATAGAGACCCATAGGGACCCATAGAGCACATAGAGACCCATAGAGACCTATAGGGACCCATAGAGCGCATAGAGATCCATAGGGACCCATAGAGACCCATAGGGAGTCATAGAGATCATGGAGACCCATAGAGACCCATAGGGACCCGTACAGACCCATACAGCGCATAAAGATCCGTAGAGACCCATAGGGACCTATAGGGTTCATAGGGACCCATAGAGGGCATAGACACCCATAGAGACCCATAGGGACCCATAGGGACCATAGAGAGCCATAGAGACTCATACAGCACCCCCTTAAGCCTCCCTCCATGCTTTGGGTCACCCCCTTAATGCCCCCGCAACCTATGGGGCACCCCCTTACTGCCCCCCCCACCCTATGGGGCACCCCTTAACCCCCCCCCCAGTCTATGTTGCCCCCCCTTAATCCCCCCCCAACCTATGGGGCACCCCCTTACTGCCCCCCCCACCCTATGGGGCACCCCCTTAACGCCTTCCCCTCCCTATGGGGCACCCCCTTACTGCCCCCCCAACCTATGGGGCACCCCCTTACTGCCCCCCCCAACCTATGGAGCACACCCTTACTGCCCCCCCCAACCTATGGGGCACCCCCTGACTGCCCCCCCACCCTATGGGGCACCCCCTTACTGCCCCCCCCCCCAGGCTGCTGGTGATGAAGATGCAGAACCTCCATGGGTTTCGGCGCCGGCGGGGGGGGGGCTCCAGCAGCGACGAGGAAGAGGAGGAGGAGGACGAAGAGGAAGAGGACGAGGAGGATGGGGGGCGCCAGCCCCAGCTGCTCCTGGCCATGGCCCCCCACTATGGGGCCATCAACCGCATCCGGGTACCGACCCCCCCCATGCACCCCAATAGGCACCCATAGGACCCCCCCCATGCACCCCAATAGGCACCCATAGGACCCCCCCCAATGCACCCCAATAGGCACCCATAGGACCCCCCCAATGCACCCCAATAGGCACCCATAGGATCCCCCCCTGACCCCAATAGGCACCCATAGGACCCCCCCCAATGCACCCCAATAGGCACCCATAGGACCCCCCCAATGCCCCCCAATAGGCACACATAGGACCCCCCCAATGCACCCCAATAGGCACCCATAGGACCCCCCCAATGCACCCCAATAGGCACCCATAGGATCCCCCCCTGACCCCAATAGGCACCCATAGGACCCCCCCAATGCACCCCAATAGGCACCCATAGGACCCCCCAATGCACCCCAATAGGCACCCCTAGGACCCCCCCCAATGCACCCCAATAGGCACCCATAGGACCCCCCCAAAGCACCCCAATAGGCACCCATAGGACCCCCCCAATGCACCCCAATAGGCACCCATAGAACCCCCCCAATGCACCCCAATAGGCACCCATAGGACCCCCCCCAATGCACCCCAATAGGCACCCATAGGACCCCCCCAATGCACCCCAATAGGCACCCATAGGACCCCCCCAATGCACCCCAATAGGCACCCATAGGACCCCCCCCAATGCACCCCAATAGGCACCCATAGGACCCCCCCCAATGCACCCCAATAGGCACCCATAGAACCCCCCATCACCCCAATAGGCACCCGTAGGACCCCCCCCAATGCACCCCAATAGGCACCCATAGGACCCCCATCACCCCCCAAGCACCCCAATAGGCACCCATAGGACCCCCCTATCACCCCCCAAGCACCCCAATAAGCACCCATAGGACCCCCCCAATGCACCCCTATAGGCACCCATAGCACCCCTCCATCACCCCCCAAGCACCCCAATAGGCACCCATAGGACCCCCCATCACCCCCCAAGCACCCCAATAGGCACCCATAGGACCCCCCATCACCCCAATACCCCCGAAGCACCCCAATAGGTACCCATAGGACCCCCCCATAGCACCCCAATAGGCACCCATAGGACCCCCCCATCACCCCTATACCCCCCAAGCACCCCAATAGGTACCCATAGAAACCCCCATCACCCCTATACCCCCCAATGCACCCCAATAGGCACCCATAGGAACCCCCCAGCACCCCAATAGGCACCAATAGGACCCCTCCATCAACCCAATACCCCCCCAAGCACCCCAATAGGCACCCATAGGACCCCCCCCTGACCCCCATACCCCCCCCAGGTGACTGAACTGGGCTCTATGGGGCCGGTGGCAGCCTTGTGGTCGGAGCGGGGCCAGGTGGAGGTGGTGGCCTTGGGGGGGGCCCTGGAGGCCCTTGGGGGGCTGGAGGGGGGGGGGGGCCTCCTCCTGAAGGAACAGCCCCCCCTGAACCCCCTCTGCACCTTCCCGGGTCACATGGGCGAGGGCTACGCCTTGGATTGGTCGCCTACTGTTAATGGTTAGTGGGGGGGGGGGGCTATGGGGTGGGAGGGGGCTATGGGGTGGGAGGGGTCTATGGGGATGGTGGGGCTGTGGGGATTTGGGGGGGCTATGGGGATTGGGGGGCTATGGGGATGGGGGGGTCTATGGGGCTGGGGGGTCTATGGGGATGGGGGGCTGTGGGGATGGGGGGGCTGTGGGGATGGGGGGGCTATGGGGATTGGGGGGGTCTATGGGGATGGGGGGTCTATGGGGATGGGGGGGCTGTGGGGATGGGGGGGCTGTGGGGATTGGGGGGGTCTATGGGGATGGGGGGTCTATGGGGATGGGGGGCTATGGGGATTGGGGGGCTATGGGGATTTGGGGGGGCTATGGGGATTGGGGGGCTATGGGGCTGTGGGGGCTATGGGGCTGTGGGGGCTATGGGGCTGGGGGGTCTATGGGGATGGGGGGCTATGGGGATGGGGGGGCTATGGGGATGGGGGGGCTATGGGGATGGGAGGGTCTATGGGGATTGGGGGGCTATGGGGATGGGGGGTCTATGGGGATGGGGGGGCTATAGGGATGGGGGGTCTATGGGGCTGTGGGGGCTATGGGGATGGGGGGTCTATGGGGATGGGGGGGCTATAGGGATGGGGGGTCTATGGGGCTGGGGGGCCTATGGGGATGGGGGGTCTATGGGGATGGGGGGGCTATGGGGATGGGGGGTCTATGGGGATGGGGGGGCTATAGGGATGGGGGGTCTATGGGGCTGTGGGGGCTATGGGGATTGGGGGCCTATGGGCATGGGGGGTCTATGGGGCTGGGGGGCCTATGGGGATGGGGGGTCTATGGGGCTGGGGGGGCTATGGGGATTGGGGGCCTATGGGCATGGGGGGTCTATGGGGCTGGGGGGCCTATGGGGATGGGGGGTCTATGGGGCTGGGGGGGCTATGGGGATTGGGGGGGCTATGGGGATGGGGTTCTATGGGGATGGGGGGTCTATGGGGATGGGGGGGTCTATGGGGATTGGGGGGCTATGGGGATGGGGGGGCCTATGGGGATGGGGGGGCTATGGGGATGGGGGGCTATGGGGATGGGGGGGCCTATGGGGATGGGGGGGCTATGGGGATGGGGGAGTTCTATGGGTATTGGGGGTCTATGGGGATGGGGGGGTCTATGGGGACTGGGGGTCTATGGGGACGGGGGGGCTATGGGGATGGGGGGGCTATGGGGATGGGGGGTTTATTGGGATGGGGGGCTATGGGGATGGGGGGGTCTATGGGGATGGGGGGTCTATGGGGCTGGGGGGGCTATGGGGATTGGGGGTCTATGGGGGTGGGAGGTCTATGGGGCTGGGGGGGCTATGGGGATAGGGGGGCTATGGGGTTTTGGGGGTTCTATGGGAGTAGGGTGTTTATGGGGATGGGGGCATCTATGGGGTTGGGGGGTCTATGGGGATGGGGGGGTGTCTATGGGGCTGGGGGTGCTCTGTGGGGCAGTAGGGGGTGTCTATAGAGCAGAAAGCGCTATGGGGAGGGGGTCCTTTGGGGGCGTGGTCATACAGGAGGGGGCGTGGCCATAGGGAAAGGGAGGGTGTGGTCCTAGAGGAGGGGGGCGTGGTCATAGCGGAGAGGGCGTGGTCATAGAGAAGGGTTGGACGGTCAGAATGGAGGGGGCGGGGGCGGGGGGGGGCGTGGTCCTAGAGGAGGGGGCGTGGCCATAGCGAAGGGAAGGACATCCTACAGGAGGGGGCGTGGTCATAGAGGTGAAGGCGTGGTCATAGCAGAGGGGGTGTAGTCATGGGGGGCGTGGTCATAGAGGAGGGGGCGTGGTCGGGGGGGTGTGTGGTCCTGGAGGACGGGGCGTGGCCATAGAGAAGGGGGGGAGGTCCTAGAGGAGGGGGCGTGGTCGGGGGGGGGGGCGTGGTCGGGGGGGCGCGGTCCTAGAGGAGGGGGTGTGGTCATAGAGAAGGGGGCGTGGTCCTTTAGGAGGGGCGTGGCCACATGGGAGTTGGGGCGTGGTCATAGAGAAGGGGGGGTGGTCCACAAGGAGGGGGCGTGGTCATAGAGAAGAGGGCGTGGTCCTAGAGGAGGAGGGGCGTGGCCTGACCCCCCCCCCCCATTGGCCCCGCCCCCAGGGCAGCTCCTCTCCGGGGACTGTTCCGGAAGGATCCACGTGTGGCGGCCGCAGGGGGGGGGCTGGGCCGTGGATCAGCGCCCCCTGCTGGGCCACAGCGCCTCCGTGGAGGACCTGCAGTGGTCGCCCAATGAGCCCTCGGTACGGCCTGGGGGGTGCTGTGGGGTGCTATGGGGTGCTATGGGGGCTCTATGGGGCGCTGTGGGGTGCTATGGGGCTCTATGGGGTGCTATGGGGGCTCTGTGGGGTGCTATGGGGGCTGTATGGGGTGCTATGGGGGCTCTGTGGGGTGCTATGGGGGCTCTGTGGGTTGCTATGGGGTCTCTATGGGGCGCTATGGGGGCTCTGTGGGGTGTTCTAGGGTGCTATGGGGGCTCTATGGGGTGCTACGGGGTGCTATGGAGGTGCTATGGGGGCTCTATGGGGTGCTATGGGTGCTCTATGGGGTGCTGTGGGGGCTCTATGGGTTGCTAAGGGGCGCTATGGGGTGCTATGGGGGCTCTGGGGGTGCTAAGAGGCACTATGGGGTGCTATGGGGGCTCTATGGGGATCTATGGGGGCTCTGTGGGGCGCTATGGGGGCTCTGTGGGGTGTTATGGGGGCTTTATGGGGTGCTATGGGGGCTCTATGGGGAGCTATGGGGGCTCTATGGGCTGCTATGGGGCGCTATAGGGTGCTATGGGGCGCTATGGGGTGCTATGGGGGCTTTATGGGGTGCTATGGGGCGCTTTGGGGGCTCTGTGGGGTGCTATGGGGTCTCTATGGGGCGCTATGGGGGCTCTGTGGGGTGCTATGGTGTGCTAAGGGGGCTCTATAGGGTGCTATGGGGGCTCTGTGGGGTGCTATGGGGTCTCTATGGGGCGCTATGGGGGCTCTGTGGGGTGCTATGGTGTGCTAAGGGGGCTCTATAGGGTGCTATGGGGGCTCTGTGGGGTGCTATGGGGTCTCTATGGGGCGCTATGGGGGCTCTGTGGGGTGCTATGGTGTGCTAAGGGGGCTCTATAGGGTGCTATGGGGGCTCTATGGGGTGCTAAGGGGGCTCTGTGAGGTGCTATAGGGGCTCTATGGGGTGCTAAGGGGGCTCTGTGAGGTGCTATAGGGGCTCTATGGGGTGCTATGGGGGCTCTATGGGGTGCTATGGGGTGCTAAGGGGGCTCTATGGGGGCTCTATGGGGCGCTGTGGGGTGCTATGGAGGCACTATGGGGCTCTATGGGGTGCTATGGGCGCTCTGTGGGGTGCTGTGGGGTGTTAAGCAGCACTATGGAGTGCTATGGGGCGCTATGGGGTGCTATGGAGGCACTATGGGGCTCTATGGGGTGCTATGGGGGCTCTATGGGGTGCTATGGGGCGCTGTGGGGGCTCTATGGGGTGCTATGGGGGCTCTATGGGGTGCTATGGGGGTGCTATGGGGGCTCTATGGGGGTGCTATGGGGCGCTATGGGGGTGCTATGGGGGTGCTATGGGGGCTCTATGGGGTGCTATGGGGGCTGTATGGGGTGCTATAGGGGCTCTATGGGGGCTCTGTGGGGTGCTATGGGGGCTCTGTGGGGTGCTACAGGGTGCTAAGGTCCCTAACCCTCTCTATCCCCACTCTATGGTCTCTCCCTGGTCTCCCTATGCTCTCTCTATGGTCTCTCTATGCTCTCTCTATGCCCTCTCTATGCCCTCTCTATGGTCTCTCTATGCTCTCTCTATGCTCTCTCTATGCTCTCTCTATGCTCTCTCTATCCCCTCTCTATGCTCTCTCTATCCCCTCTCTATGGTCTCTCTATGCCCTCTCTATGCTCTCTCTATGCTCTCTCTATGGCCCTCTCTATGCTCTCTCTATCCCCTCTCTATGCTCTCTCTATGGTCTCTCTATGGTCTCTCTATGGTCTCTCTATGCTCTCTCTATGGTCTCTCTATGCTCTCTCTATGCTCTCTCTATGCTCTCTCTATGCCCTCTCTATGGTCTCTCTATGCTCTCTCTATGCTCTCTCTATGCTCTCTCTATGCTCTCTCTATGCTCTCTCTATGCTCTCTATGCCCTCTCTATCCCCTCCCCATCCCCTCTCTATGGTTCCCCCCCCTCCAGGTGTTCTGCTCCTGCTCCGCCGACGCCTCCCTTCGGGTGTGGGACATCCGGGCCCCCCCCCCCCGCGCCTGTCGCTTGGTTGCGCCCGGGGCCCACGGCGCCGACGTCAACGCCTTGAGCTGGAGCCGCCGCGACCCCTTTGTGCTCAGCGGGGGGGACGACGGCGCCGTGAACCTCTGGGACCTGCGCCGCTTCCATGTGAGCCCCATAGAGACCCATAGAGACCCATAGGGATCCATAGAGACCCATAGAGACCCATAGAGACACATAGAGACACATAGGGACACATAGAGACACATAGGGACCCATAGAGACCCATAGAGACCCATAGAGACACATAGAGACACATAGAGACACATAGAGACACATAGGGACCCATAGAGACGCATAGGGACACATAGAGACACATAGAGACCCATAGAGACCCATAGGGACACATAGAGACACATATAGACCCATAGAGACCCATAGGGACACATAGAGACACATAGAGACCCATAGAGACCCATAGGGACACATAGAGACACATAGAGACCCATAGAGACACATAGAGACCCATAGAGACCCATAGGGACCCATAGGGACCCATAGAGACACATAGGGCCCCATAGGGACACATAGAGACCCATAGAGACCCATAGAGACCCATAGCGACCCATAGAGACCCCATAGAGGGGCCCCATAGCAACCCATAGCGACCCATAGCAACCCCATAGGGGACCCATAGAGACCCATAGGGGACCCATAGCGACCCCTATAGAGACACCCCATAGAGATCACGTAGACCCTCCAACCTGCCCCATAGACCCCCTCCATCGCCACATCCCCCGGAAACCTCCCCCGTAGACCCCCCTCCAGCCCCACATCCCACCCCACACCCCCCTTCTCCCCCCCATAGACCCCCTTCCAGCCCCACATCCCACCCCACACCCCCCTCCTCCCCCCCATAGACCCCCCTCCAGCCCCACATTCCACCCCACACCCCTCTTCTCCCCCCCATAGACCCCCCTCCAGCCCCACATCCCCCCCACAGCCCCCTCCTCCACCCCATAGACCCCCTCCAGCCCCACATCCTGCCCCATACCTCCCCTTCCAGCCCCACATCCTGCCCCACACCCCGCCCCACACCCCCCTCCTCCCCCCCATAGCCCCCCCCTTCCAGCCCCACATCCTGCCCCATAGACAGGCTCCAGCGTGGCCACCTTCAAGCAGCACCGCGGCCCCATCGTCGCCCTCCAATGGCACCCCACAGCCAGCGGGGTCCTGGCGGCCGCCGGTGCCGACGACCTCGTCACCCAATGGGACCTGGGAGTGGAGGCGGACCCGGACGAGGAGCTCGCTATGGGGCGGAGCGACCCCCAAGTGTGGGGCGGGGGTTTGGAGGCGCTGCCCCCCCAGCTCCTTTTCTTGCATCAGGGGGAACGGGAGCTCAAGGAGCTGCGCTGGCACCCGCAGTGCCCGGGGCTGATGCTCACGGCCTCCAGGGATGGAGTGGCCCTATGGAGGTCCGCCAGCGTCTAGGGGGCGCTGTGGGGAGAGATGTGGGGCATGGGGGTCCGCCGGCCGCTAGGGGGCGCTGTGTGTGTTGGGTGTCCGCTAGGGGGCGCTGTGGGGGGGGTGGAGCGTGCATGGAGGTCCGCCGGCCGCTCGGGGGCGCTGTGGGGAGAGATGTGAGGCAAGGGGGTCCGCCACCTGCTAGGGGGCGCTGTGTTGCGGGGTGTCCGCTAGGGGGCGCTGTGGGGAGAGGAATGGGGTGTGGAGGTTCGCTGGCAGATAGGGGGCGCTGTGGGGAGAGGGTAGGGACGTGGGGGTCCTCCAGCCGCTAGGGGACGCTGTGGGGAGAGATAGGGGGCACGGAGGTCCGCCGGCCGCTAGGGGGCGCTGTGGGGGGCAGGTATGGGGTGCATGGAGGTCCGCCACCCTCTAGGGAGCGCTGTGTGGGGGGGGTGTCCGCTAGGGGGCGCTGTGGGGGGTTGGAGGGTGCATGGAGGTCCGCCAGCCGCTAGGGGGTGTTGTGGGGTGAGGGTGCGCATGGAGGTCCGCCGGCCGCTAGGGGGCGCTGTGGGGAGAGGAATGGGGCACAGGGGTCTGCCAGCCGCTAGGGGGCGCTGTGGGGAGAGGGAGGGGGTGTGGGGGTCCGCTAGGGGGCACTGTGGGGGGGAGATGTGGGGCACAGGGGTCCGCTGGTGTCTAGGGGTGCTGTGGGGAGAGGGAGGGGGTATGGGGTCCGCCAGCCTCCAGGGGACGCTGTGGGGAGAGAAATGGGGCAAGGAGGTACGCCAATTTCTAGGGGGCGCTGTGGGGAGAGATATGGGGCACGGGGGTCCGCCGGCCACTAGGGGCCGCTGTGTGTGTGGGGTGTCCGCTAGGGGGCGCTGTGGGGAGAGGGAAGGGGTGTGGGGGTCCGCCAGCCACTAGGGGACGCTGTGTGTGGGGGGGTGTCCGCTAGGGGACGCTGTGGGGAGAGATGTGGGGCACGGGGGTCCGCCAGCCGCTAGGGGGCGCTGTGTGGGGGGGTGTGTCCGCTAGGGGGCGCTGTGGGGAGTTGGAGGGGGTATGGGGTCCTCCAGAGTCTAGGGGGCACTGTGGGGACTGAAAGGGGGCACGGGGGTCCGCCAGCCGCTAGGGGGCGCTGTCCGGAGAAAGAGGGCGCGTGGGGGTCCGCCGGCCGCTAGGGGGCGCTGTGAGGAAAGGGAGGGACACGCTAGGGGCGCATTGAGGTCCGCCAGCCGCTAGGGGGGCGCTGTGTGGGGGGGGGTGTCCGCTAGGGGCGGCTGTGGGGGGCGGCTATGGGGTGCGTGGAGGTCCGCCGGCCGCTAGGGGGCGCTGCGGGGTGAGGGTGCCCATGGAGGTCCGCCAGCGTCTAGGGGGCGCTGCGGAGAGAGATGTGGGGCACGGAGGTCCGCCACCCGGTAGGGGGCGCTCTTGGGGGCGGCTATGGGGCGTGGGGGTCCGCCAGCCGCTGGGGGGCGCTGTGGGGAAAGGAGGTTCATTGGCATATAGGGGGCGCTGTGGGGAGGGGGGGGTGGGGATCCGCTAGGGGGCGCTGTGGGGAGAGAGATGGAGCACGGAGGTCCTCCGGCCGCTAGGGGGCGCTGTGTGGGTTAGGAGGCTGCATAGAGGTCCGCCAGCCGCTAGGGGGCGCTGTGGGGAGCGGGAGGAGCGTGGTTAGGGGGCGCTCAGAGGTTGTTACCGGGTGCTATGGGGGGGGGGGGGGGGATGTGGGGTCGTTATGGAGAGCTTATGGGGCAGTTACAGTGTGGTTATGGGGCGCTGGGGGGAGCGCATGGGGTTATGGGGCAGCTATGGGGTAGCTATTGGGGGGTGGATGTGGGGTTGTGAGGGGGCTATGGGGTGGTTATAGGGCACTGTGGGGGGGGGATATAGGGGTGCTATGGGGCAGTTGTTGGCTACTTATGGGGTGTTGATGGGACAGTGACCCCCAAATTAAGCTCCTCCCCCTTAGGGGGTGACCCCCAAGTGTAGTGCAATGACAGCCACTTATGGGGCAGAGCGACTCCCCCCAGGACAAACCTCCTCCCTCCCCAACATCCACTTAGGGGGTGACCCCCAAGTTATGGGGCAGAGCGACCGTCCCTCCCCACAACATCCCCCCACTTAGGGGGTGCCCCGTGCCCCCCCCCAGCAATTCCTCCTTGATCCAATAAAACCCTTTCTATGCTTTAATTGGTCACTTCTTGTCACGTGGTTTGTGGGTGTACACGCCCCGCCCCCCAGTGGCGTGATGTCACGTGGTTTGTGTACCTCCCCCCCCCCCCCACGGTGTCACGTGTTTTGTTTGTGTGTACGCCCCACCCCCTCCCCGTGGTGTCACGTGGTTTGTGGATGTACACCCCACCCTGTCACGTGCTGTACACGCCCCCCATCACGTGGTGTACACGCCCCACCCCCTCCCCGTGGTGTCACGTGGTTTGTGGGAGTGTGTACGCCCCGCCCCCCCCGGTGTCACGTGGTTTGTGTGTGTATGGCCCCCCCACATCACGTGGTGTCCACGCCCCGCCCCCTCCCCGCGGTGTCACCTGGTGTGTACCCCCCCCCCCCAGTGGTGTCCACGCCCCCGCCCCCGTGGTGTCACATGGTTTGTGGGTGTACGCCCCGCCCCCCCGGTGTCACGTGGTGTACATGCCCCCGCCCCCTCCGTGTTGTCACGTGGTTTGTGTGTGTGTGTACGGCCCCCCATCACGTGGTGTACTTGCCCCTGCCCCCGTGGTGTCACGTGGTTTGTGTGTGTGTGTGTGTGTGTGTACTCCCCCCAATCACGTGGTGTACACGCCCCACCCCACCCCCGTGGTGTCACGTGGTGTCCACGCCCCCCGCCCCCTCGGTGTCACGTGGTGTCAGGCGAGGTCGGCGCGCCATTGGAGGGAGGTGTAGGCGGGGGCGCCCCCTGGCGGCCCGGCGGAGCAGAGCAGCAGCGTCTTGCGCACGTGGGTGCCCAGGCGGGCGGCGGCCACGAGGGAGCCCGGAGCCAATCCCGAGGAGGGGGCGGGGCACAAACAGAGGGCGGCGGCGTGGAAACGGGAGGGGGGGCCTGGGGGGGGGGGAGAGACCCATAGAGACCCATAGGGACACATAGAGACACATAGAGACACATAGAGACCCATAGAGACACATAGAGACACATAGAGACACATAGAGACCCATAGAGACACATAGAGACACATAGAGACACATAGAGACCCATAGAGACACATAGAGACCCATAGGGACCCATAGAGACCCATAGAGACACATAGAGACCCATAGAGACCCATAGAGACCCATAGAGACCCATAGAGACCCATAGAGACACATAGAGACACATAGAGACACATAGAAACCCATAGAGACCCCATAGAGGAAACCCATAGGGATCCATAGAGAGCCAGAGGGACCCATAGGGACACATAGGGACCATAAAGACCCATAGGGACCCATAGAGAGCATAAAGCCCCACAGGGACCCACAGAGACCGATAGGGACCCATAGAGACCCATAGAGACCATAGGGATCATAAAAACCCATAGACAACCAGAGGGACCCATAGGGACCCCACAGGGACCCATAGAGACCCATAGAGAGCCATAGGGACACATAGGGACCCATAGAGAGCATAGAGACCCAGAGGGACCCATAGGGACACATAGAGATACCATAGGAGAACATAGGGATCCATAGGGAGCCATAGGGACCATAAAGACCCATAGAGACCCATAGAGACCCATAGAGACCCATAGAGACACATAGGGACCATAGAGACCCATAGGGACCCACAGAGACCCACAGGATCCCATAGAGGCCACAGAGACCCCCCACCGCTGCCCCATACCTGGGTACACCAGGAAGTCCCCCCCGAACTTGCCGCCGTGGGTCAGGTACAGGCCCTTGCCCCATAGATCCCGGTACACACGGTAACGGTGCTCATGTGTGGGGCAGGCGGTGGGGGAGGGGCAGCTCCCGTCCGGGGGTGGGGGAGGGGCTGAAGGCTCTTGGGAGGAGGGGTCTGCAAGACGGGGGGGGTGGGGGTCAGTGAGGGGCTGCCCCATAGCACCCCATAGCTGCAGCATTGTACCCCATCACTGCCCCATAGCTCCCCATAGCTGCAGTATTGTAACCCATCACTGCCCCATAGCGGCCCATAGCTGCAGCATTGTACCCCATCACTGCCCCATAGCACCCCATAACTGCAGCATTGTACCCCATCACTGCCCCATAGCGGCCCATAACTGCCCCATAGTGCCCCATAACTGCCCCATAGTGCCCCATAACTGCCCTATAGCGCCCCATAACTGCCCCATAGTGCCCCATAACTGCCCTATAGCGCCCCATAACTGCAGCGTTGTACCTCATCACTGCCCCATGGCGCCCCATAAGTGCAGCATTGTACCCCATCACTGCCCCATAGAGCCCCATAACTGCAGCATTGTACCCCATCACTGCCCCATAGTGCCCCATAACTGCCCCATAGCGCCCCATAACTGCCCCCCCCCATACCTGTGGGGCTCTTCTCCGGCTCATCCTGTGCCTGAAAGGGGAGGGAATAAGAAAGGGGGCAGCCCCACGGCTGCCCCACAGCTGCCCTGTGCCTGCCCCATAAAAGCTCCCCCTCCCCATAGTTCTCCCACAGCCCCATAACTGCCCCACAGCCTGCCGTATCTGCCCCATAACCACCCATATCAGCCCCATAATCCCCCTATATCCACCCCATAGCCCCCCTATATGAGCCCCATTACTCCCCTACTTCAGTCCTATTGCTGCCCCATAACCCCAGCATATCAGACCTATTGCTGCCCCATACCCCCCCATATCATCCCCATAGCCCCCCTATATCCACCCCATACCCCCCCATATCAGCCCCATTGCTGCCCCATAACCCCCCATATAATTCCCATAACCCCCCATATCCACCCCATTACTGCCCCATACCCCCCTATATCCACCCCATATCAGCCCCATACCCCCCATATCCACCCCACATCATCCCCATAACCCCCCATATCCGCCCCATACCCCCCCCATATCCGCCCCATTGCTGCCCCATAACCCCCCATACCCCCCCCCTAAATCCGCCCAATATCATCCCCATACCCCCCATATCCACCCCATTGCTGCCCCATAACCCCCCATAACCCCCCTATATCCGCCCCATAACCCCCCCAAACTGCCCCCTTTCCCCCTAA